CCTTGCTACACCGCCCCAAAATGCACCGCGCGCAGGTTGCATTTCGCCGCGCGCAAGTTGCATTTCGGGCGGCGTAGCAAGGAATAAGCCTTTCCCACGGTCCCGTACTCGGACCCCCGTGCAGTTTCAGGCGGGGAAACCACGACACATCGACAGCTGGGGGGCTGTTAGTCTCATACACCCTCAATGTGTTTGAGCGTACCATGTGTCTTTAAATTTCGTAGGGTCTTATTTCACGCTCTTCCACACCTTTTTCCTACTTTTTTTGATTAGTGCTTCATTGGCCACCTGTTCTAACAAATTTGACCCCTGAGACCTGCCAAAGTCCATCGCGGGCGCTGTCTTTAATCAGTGCACTTATCCACTAGGCCATCGGCGACCTGCCGTGAGCAACCATCCCTCTCAACTTATACAACGAGCAAAGATTTGATGGTCCGTAACTCCGTTCAGAGAATCGTTCCGCAAAAACGGAGAGTAGATTTGGATTCAGCGGCTCGAGATACGTCCATATACCTACTTCTCATTGCAAATGGCCGGGTCGACCTGTTGGGGTTCCCTTGTTAGGCAAACGCTGCATCATGCCTTTTCCAAGGAGGTGCCCTTATAAGGGCCCTATCAAGCCACAACATTCCGACCCAAACGCCCGCCCGCCCACAAATGGACGACCGTTCCTGACGCTCTAATCGATTCATTTGCTAAGCAAATTATGAAGCGAAGGGATTGGTATGAAGCGGCCGTGATGCTGCATGGATATATGAGTACACATATGCAGCCGTACCTTCGGTAGCGGTTATTGGCAAGATGCCTACGGAAAACTCGTCCAAAATTGATTTTGAACACATTGAGAACGGAGGCTCTTTCTTCGCAGGATTTTGACCGTTTCACTCCGTTCTTTCGCCATTTCCCACTATACAGCGCCCTACTAGCATTTTAGGCCGAGCACCAAATCATCGTGCCAACTGCCTTCAAAGCAGTTTTGCATAGGCACCAGAGTCACTGGTTCTAGTCATACACTACACGAAAGAGCTGTAGCGGTTTCACTTTGATTTGACTAATGCAAAAGGAGAGCCTGTCGAAAATGTCGCTTAAAGTGCTAGTCCACACCAATAACTTAAAAATTGACAGAAGCTGGACCTCCCGGAAAACCAAGAGTTTAGAGCGAAAAACTCTCTGTTAGTTAATATGAAAAGGCCAAGTAAGTTCTGTGGATCCCAAATCCTCGAGCTAGCAATGTTGGTGAAATGATCAGCAGCCAGTGCAGCAGCTTAAGCCAAGTTACCCCTTTATGCCATAATTACATTACGATGAGGATAACAGAAATTTCCTTCAAGGCAAGCTGACATCAATATTATAAGCTCACTTCTAGTAAAATTATTAGCTTTTCGGAAAAATGGAAAATTGTTGTGAAAATGATTACCGCACTGAACCTTCACCAGCAGGGTAGCGCGCAAAAAAAAACTCGGGAACTATTCATTACTCAGTGCGTCTTACCTATTTGAGTAGCAGTTGTTGTTGTTGTCATCACTGCTGCGGTAGTAGTAGTAGTAGTAGTAGTTCCGTAGGTGTCATGGCCATACAGGACCTTATATGGACGACTTTCAATGTAAAGGTATAAATAAAGAGAATATTGCCCAGTGAAAAACGCTTATGATTTGGCAGAACGAGCGATTTGAGGCCACTCATGACCAAGTCAGCAACGCTGACAAAGCGCGTGTTACTGAAGTTAGTTACCATCCGTGCACGTAGTTCACTTGTGACGACTTCCGTTATGAACGGGTGTGTTGACCTAATATGATGCGCGCCAACAAGATTTACTTCTGCGTCAAATGGGACACCTTAGCTGATGAATTACCCCAAATACAGTGCCCTTGGAAAGGCTATATTCATTACCACGAAGATGCTAAGCTATGAGCAAAAGTCGAGCCATAGACGGGATTCGAACCCGCAACTCACGCTTTCCGGGCAAGTGCGCTATCTGTTACGCCACCAAACGGCTGCTTTTACTCTTTCAGCTCAAGGGCTTTTAGGCCGTAGCCTTATAGCACTCACACGCTTAACATACAACGTTTAAAGGTACTGTCTGAGATCAGGTATAGAAGTTGAAGATATGGCGTTGAGGGGGAAGTTGTGGTCTGCGACGAGCAACCTTGTAAAGGTTTCGCGGCAAAAAAAATTGTAAGGGGGAGGGGGGGCACTATAGCTTCAGTGACGCCTCCTTTTCCCCCAGAGACTCCGCCTCCTGACTCCGCTTTCAGGCGGGAAGCGTGAGGCGCGGGGTCGGCTCCCGCCTGGGGTACGACTTTTGCCCATAACTCAGCAACATTCGGAGCGCGAATTGCGCCATAAAGCAGCAGTTATCATCATAAAGCAGCTATATTTTGGCTTGCAATGAGGTTGCTGCCTGTTCCCAACGAGTGCTCATATACGTGACCACAAAACGACCGCTGTACTAGTATAACAGACAGGAAATCGGGTTCTTCGCTGCAAATCACCGGAAAAACCAGTCTGTAATACTTATTCACACCGTCAAATTTTGTATCTTTCGGGGACGAGAAGAGCTCTACAAAAGAACAAGGGGATGCACCACTGTAGCACGACTTTACCTGCTGAACATTCGTCTTGAAGGGGTCCTTCCAGAGAGGGTGGCTCAGTATTGCCTGAGTGGGCTTCGTCCCTTTAGCATGATTAAGCGGACTGAGTATGAGCAGCATCAGTCCTTAGTACTGGTGAAGGGTTAGTAGTATTGGCGCAACTACTAACTCCCCTCCGTCAGGAAGAGTTTAGCTTTTGCTTGAAGCGAGGAGGACGTTATTTGAGGCATTCTAACCATTTCGTCTGTACTTTTCTTCATAAGTAATCGAAAATCACACACAGTTCTGTTATTCAAGCCCGCCACTTAAAGTGGAAAAACTCGGAAGAAGCCAAAGGCGCGCGCCTAGGAAGTTCTGTCAGACTTCCGGAAGTGTACAGGGGGGGGGGGCAAAAAAAACTTTCTTTCCCCTGACTTTTGAGGGACTTTAAGTTACACTATATCCCTCTCTCCATTCCACGTACGTCCAGTCCATACGATCAACTGGCGCCTTGGCGACTGAGGTGAAGATGATCCCCAGAAGGCTGTGGCGGAGAATCGTGATAGTATTTGATATTCTCTTCTTCCTTGACGGAGCTGCTCGATGATGGAGGTCTTCCAGATCGAGAGTACTGCTCTCCAGGTAGCTATCCATGGGTGACTCCATACTAGAAGTTTCGCAGCTGTTGGAGGTGACATGAATTCCGAAGGTCTTCTCCAGTCAGGTTGCGGCTGGAGATGACTTCATATTTTGGTGTACATGAAGGTGATGGGCGAGAGCCAGCTCCTGCTTATAGAGGAACATCTTGGGTATCTTCCGCCCTGGTAGTATCCACGTCCTCTGTCTGGGCTGCGAAAACTTTGCTGATATGTGACTCGGTCGGAATGACTTTTTTTACCCCGCCCCTGTACATGGAAACATCATTACCTCAGATGAAGTAGTTCCCAACAGACTGAAAAAGAGTTGATAGTTCAAGGACAGAAAGGAGAACACTATCGCAATACAACACTGCTACTAAGCTGATACTGGACAAATTTGTGTGGCTTTGCAGGGCTTTGAAAAAAACAAGGAATTGTGGATTGTGGTAAGAGAAGTAAATGTAGAAGAACCCCTAGACTCGGGTGACTCCTCGTCGAGTAAATCATGTAAGACGAACTTGTATCCGCCAGCCATTTCGCCGCATATGCCGAAGATCATATTAGTAGTATGATGGCTGTCAGAACATTGGGAAACTTTACTGCATTGAAAAAGCTTCAAATGTGGTGCAGTGCCGTCGATAAGCCGTCCTTGACTTGCTGCATGCATACCACTTACACAGGGGCGAGAAATTGAGCCCCTTTTTTGTATTCCTAACATTGTATGAAGTATTCGCGTACACTTGCTCATGCCGAAATATATTGTTCAAAAACAGTGTCCGCCTTTATCTGCTCACAGAATTGCGCCTCAGTGCGTAGGAACGGAACACAGTCCACTTCTTCTTCACCGAAATCGGCCCCTTTCTGAGGACCTTCTAACAGCCCGGATTCGAATTCTTTAAAGTTTCATGTGAAGAGAAGCATGAGGAAGCAACTAAGGGGCCAAAGGTACCAGATTCCTGATGACCCAATGAGCAAACAAGCTTTGAAAACAAGGGTGAATTGAGACCTTGACTATCTCCGCCCCACTAGCGAAAACATGAAGAAATGAGTTGGGGATCTAAAAAATGATGACGGCACCTCGGAAATTCTCCATGGATGTGAAATGCCCTGGTGCACTGTTATTGGATGCGATTCTCTCTAAGGCACATGAGCAGAAAAAATGTGTTCTGGCTTTTTTGTTGTGCACGTGATTTTTTTGAAGCGCTGTCGAATCGTAATGGGCTTCTGAATGTGGCTGATGCAGGGGAGGAGAGAAATGGTGTAAGAGCCAGTGTTTTATACTGCTGGACCGAATTATCTAGCCCGGTAATGTTGAAGTTTCAGTTGGCTGGGTGGGAGCTGATCCGGGATCTGACCCTCAGATCGCGCAGGTGCAAGTGGAGTCTCTCTCCCCTTACCAGCCTCGCCTTATATACCATCAGACTGTCACATTACCCTCTCAGGTACTATTCTTAATATTGTATGTTCGGAGATGAATAAATTAGGAAAAATTGTTGAAAATACCGTTTCCGTCCCTGTTTCAAGTTTTTCCTGCTGTATGCTTTTCTGATCGTGACATATTTGTTCATATCAGTTGATGTGGCAAGTGTCGGTGGCTCGAGCGAGGCTGGTCGAGAATCCTTCAAACCGTGGGTGCGTATTATGTCTATATTTCACAAATCATTGGCGCTACTGGTTCCTAGACACGAGATGACACTTCAGCATGTTCAACCGATTTACTGAGAAAATAGCATTGTTAATCCAACGTGTTTCACCGCATTGAAGAACAGTCTGCTCTAATGTTGGCACGGTCTTACACACTAACACAAAGTTTATTTCCACCGCAGTAGGTTCCAATGGGACACATCGAGCACGGTGTACCGGGGTTGTAGATCGCGTTTTCGGCAATATTGCCCTCTGAATTTGAAAATACGCGATTACAGCTGAGAAAAAAAACGATGAAAAACTTACCCAGGACTGTAATGGCACACGGCAGACCATCTATTGCCACTGCATGGATGAACAAAACAGCCAAGCAAGTATGTACTTCCCCATGCCATCTGAAATTTTCGAGAGTGCGTAACCGAATGATGATAATGAAGAAAGAGCATAGCAAAAAATTCAGTAGAATTTCTGCAGTTCTCAAAATACTCATTAATGAGCGCTCTTCATCTCAAAGGGAAAGTTTTTCGTTCCCTTTCTTAGTCCATATTACCGTTTGGCCCCTCCTTCTAGTTGATATGCGCTAATTAGTTCAAAGTAATCAGAAAATAAATCGGCTCCCGTGGAAATGAAAGCTTACTCTGGTGAACGACTGGATTCTCGTGCCTTGTAACCTGGTTCTGAAAATGGCTCTCCGTCCAGGACCATTAACTTTGCGAATTTGGCTCCACCAATGTTTAATAGCCTAAAGAGTGACAAAATGATGGCGGATGCACCGAAGATCGCTTTCGGGCATTCAAGAACACTGCTAATTTACTCACCACTACAATTGCATCCTTGCGGTATCTAGCTCGACTTTTCGAGAATACCATTATGTTCTCCTGTACACCACCTGGAAGATTAGGCCACGTTGCAGTGTCACATCTCATAGCAGATTCTCTGGCCGAAGTTTCCAGATCACAACTCCACTGCTGAAATTGGGAGCTTGTTTTTGTCCGTCCGAAATTATACACTCATGAAATCGTAACATGCATTGAATCATACCATTCTTCTGATGTCGCCACCTTGGGGCATGTTATTACCGTTGTTTTTTGTCACAAGTCCTTGAGCAAGCCGTGATCTGTGCAAGCACTTGTGTTGAACTTCATTGAAGATTCACTAGATAGGGAAAAAGTTGCACACCTGCGGTAGTTATGTCCCTGGAGTGCTTGCGTCCTTACCCTATCTGTTGTGCCGGCGATCTGAGTGCAGATCTGGTTGACTGCTGGAATATTGTGCAGTTGGTTCAAAGCTTTCACGAAACTGACGTGTATATAAAAAAGTGGGAATGCCATCATGCGGCTTCGTCTACACTGAAGTCTCTGAAGTGTGCGCACTGGACTTGACTTCAGTTAGCCCGCAGTGGTAATGTGTAAGCTAAATCGCACGTCACAAGCTGTCTCACGTTTACCTCGAGTGTTTCACAAGGTGATGAATGATGGACGAACCTGGATTTGGATGTGCATTGGTTGTTGTAGTCGTTGTAGTAGTAGTCGTAGTGGTAGTAGTAGTCTCCTCAGTAGTTTCGATAGTTGTATCATTACTTGTAGCGTTATTGGTTTGCGCTGATACCATCGCCAACAGCTTGAACACGTTTAATCACAAAAGGTTACTGCAAAGGAGGGAAAAACAAATCCAGGACTTACCGCCAGGAAGGCGAGGCGTCGTAAAGCCTTGCTGAGCCGCATTTCGCGAGTGTCATTTCAGTGCCTGCCCAGCTCTTTTAAATCCTTCACAGAAAATCAATTCAAAAAATTTCAATGGGAAGGGGTGGATTGGTGAAAGTAATTGAAAAATTTCAATGAGAAAGTTGGCTGTAGGAGGTTGAAAAAATTGTTCATTCAAAAAATGGTAGTCCACCACAGTCATGAGCAACGTGGCGTATGTGAAACATTTTGTTTTGCATTGACCTTTGGTTGTCTATAATGGTTCACGAGCTTTCTACGTACTGTAGACCTCCTCACTACTTATCGGGTATAGAGCCGTAAAACCTCAAGCTTATAATATTACTTCTCGAATGGAGTCCGATAAGGTCGGTCTTCGAAAGTGTTGCGGGCCACCACAGTACATAGTTATTGGGGTCGGAAGACCCCCATTCTCCTCTTGAAGGCAGTTGGCACGATGGTTCCCCACTAGGCCTAAAATGCTAGTAGGGCGCTATGTAGTGGGGAAATGGCGAAAGAACGGAGTGAAACGGTCAAAATCCGGCGAAGAAAAGCCTCCGTTCTCAGTGACTTGTAAATCGATTTCGGACGAGTTTCCCGTACGCATCTTGCCAATCACCGCTACCGAAGATACGGCTGCATATGTGTACCCATATATGCATGCAGCAACATCCCTCTTCATCCAATCCTCCAACCATACCTTTCTTATAATTTGCTCAGCAAAATGAATGAATACAAGCGACAGGAACGCTCGTCCGTTTGTGGGCGGGCAGGCGAGAAAGGCGTTTGGAACGGAATGTTGTTGCTTGATAGGGCGTTATAAAGGTACCCTCTTTGGAAAAGGCGCCACGGAGCGCCAGTCCGAGGTGACGTAATTCTGTTAAGGCTGTCGTGTAAATTCTACATCTGCATTCTACATCTAGCTTATCGTGCCAACTGCCTTTAAGGGAGCCCTCGACTAGTTTTCTGGATCACTTCTTTTGGCTTCGAACCGTTTATTTCGTTTAAGCAATGGTTTATGAAGCGAGGCATAGATGGGAAAGGGAGGCATAGATGGGAAGAATGCAATTATATTCCCTAAGGGAAACGTTATTCATACAGTAGACAGAGCATTTCTGGCTTATTCCCCCTTTATTGGTAAGTGATTCAAAAGGAAATCATTTTACATGCGCAAATCCTGTTGAGTCATCTTTGCAAAACTTTGGGAAGATCCAATACACTCCCGCCCGAAAGAAAATGTTAAGTAGAGAGAAGTGCTATTGAGCTTTCTTTTTTTCTTAGCAACCTTTACTAGGCAGTCTGAAAGCGAACCCCAACAGTTCGATCCGGCCACTTACAATGAGATGTACAGGGGAGGGAGCCAAAAAAAGCCACTCCGACCGAGTCACATATCAGCAAAGTTTTTGCAGCCCAGAGAGAAGATGTGGATACGAGTACCGGGACGGAAGATATCCAAGATGTTCCTCGACAGGCAGAGGTGGCCCTCGCTCATCACCTTCATGTACACCAAAAGGAGCGGGTTGATGGTATGGACCGGAGGTACCGGAATGGAAAGACCGATATTTTTTTCGTGGACCCCGGTGAGCGCTACCGGTTACATCGAGCAACTCGAGAAGAATATCCTCCCCACATGTCGCGCGCCCTACCTTCTTGAAAACTTTGTACTGCTACAGCATTGGGTGCCACCACGTGGAATCGAAGGGCGTTGGAGAAACTCTCGCCTACTTGGAATGGGAGGGAGCCAAGCACCCAAAGAAGATGGTGTATCCAAAGTAGGTGGGACTGGACCTGAAACCCCTCAGTTACCCGGTTCGGGCGAAGTTCAATAGGGTGGTGTACGGTGGCGGAAGAAATCGACTATCTCGCTGATCTCAGGCACCACATCGCGGTGGCGTGCCAGAATCTCTCGATGGCGCTCGCCCAGAAGGTTGTGGCGGAGTGTCGTGATAGTATTTAATATGCTCTTTGACATGATGGTACAAATGTCCGATTAGAATTCATGAGGTGTAACTTATAGCGCCACGAAGTCAATGAAGAAAAGTGACTTTTTGCCCCCCCCCCCTGCATATATATGGACGTGTCTTGAGCCGCCGAATAGAAATCTGCCGTCGGAATTTGCGCAACGATTCTCTGGAGGGAGTTACGGACCATTTAATCTCTGCACTGTTCACACAAGTTGAGAACGATCACTACACGCGGCAAGCGGTCGATGGCGTAGTGGATGGTGTGATAGGCGCACTGCTTCAAACAGACATATGGTCGCATGTTAGAATCCCTGACTCTCGAAATGTTTTGTTTTTATTCAAAACACTTCATATGAGTCTCTAATACGCTTCTGTTTGGCCTTACCTACTTCTCTGATCTCCCTCAACGGACACGCCGGATAGCTTCAGGCACAACATTGCGACAGAACAAGAAAGCAACAACTGGCTGTTTTTCGTGAGGAATGCCGCGTGTTGTACGATTCACAGTCATGGTGTCTGGACCATATCAGCCTCCGTAATTTTGCACAGACGACACGTCGACAGGATTTTGCTTCGACAATTTAAAAAATCACTACCGCTTTTCTCTCTGAACTGGTGGAGAACTGTAACTGTACCTTGTGTGGAGAGTCTGGTTTAAACTTTGCACAGGGTAGTTCGGATGTCCTGATCACGAACATAGCCGCATACGGCCCTGGCGCCAATTTGGCGCTGCCGAATTTCTCACCAAATTTCGACGTAACTGCTCTGCATCAGCTAGGTTATTTGATGTCCTGATCACGAATGTCGCATTAGTTCTCAGCGATGGCTCCATTTGACGACAATATGGAGCCGGTCCTGAAGCGCGGGCCCTAGGTGGTTTTATTAGACCGAGCGGATGTGATGTTCGTGTTCAAGAGGTCGAATGACCCCTAGAACCCAACTTTCAGCCAAATATGCCCCGTAAAAAAAGTCGATCCAGATCCGGCCTGTTTCCGGAAAATCCACCAATTCGAGGAGGAATACCACATGTGGCTCTCAATAATCATACCCGAGTCATTCTTACAAATAAACATCTTGAGGAGGGCCACGTTCCTTGCTTCATGCGTCAAATAAATAAAGAAGCAAGGAAAATTGGCCAAATAGAAATTTCGGAGGGCTCATACCAAGTGTTTTGAATGAAAAGCAAAAAATTTCGATAGCCAAGGATTCCAACATTCGACCTCGTGTCTCTGAAGCAATGCACTTATCCACTAGGCCATCGGCGGCTTGCCGCATGCAGTTATCCTTCTCAACTTGAGCACGGAGCTAAGATTAAATGGTCCGTAACTCCCTTTCAGAGAATCGTTCCGCAAATTCCGAGGGCAGATTTGGATTCAGCGGTTCAAGACACGTTCATATATATACATCTCATTATAAATGGCGGAATCGACATGTAGGGGCTCCCTTATGAGTGGGATGTTTGTATCTTCTCTACATTGTGAGAAAACAAAGTATCAGAAAAAGCAAACAAATGGACATATAATTTTGAAATTCGAAAAGAGTCCGAAAAGATCCTGGCATTTTTGTAAAGATATCCGAGAAGAAATCAGGCACATTTTCAAAGGTAAATCCGCTAATGGATGATTTGAATGATTGACTTGTTGTGATCATCTCTGTGATGAAAGTTGCTTCATTGACGAATGCGAGTTGTCCCTTCAGAGGAAATTCCTGCTGGACATCTGATTGTGCTCTTTTCGTTAACCAATGAGTTGATGAAGTGGAATCGCACTGCGGAAATTCTCCCTCTGGGGTGCACCGAACCATTCTCGTTATATCTGAACACTCAATTTGTGCCGTTTCTTCACTTAATGATGACCTGCACGAGACATTAGCAATCGCTCCCTGTGTGCAGGAATAGCATCCTGTCAGCTCCGCCATATGAACTTGACATGAATTGTTGTTGATGCTAGAAGCAATGACTAGTTCGTTTGTTAATACCTGGCTTGTGAGCGCAGAGTCGAGTTATTTTGTCTTAATGGTTTGCTGCTCGTTTATCAGTGCTGCTTGACCTGTAATTACTGGAAGCTTATTATGTTTATTGTGTAGAAATGACGACGTTGTCCTATTTGGACAGGAGCATGTGACTGCGTATTTTCTTGGGTTACAGGAACATGCATATTGCGCGAAAATACAGCTTCCTAAAGACTTTGCTTCTTCTTCTGTTCTACATTGTAACTGACCGGCGGAGTTGGTAGATATTGTTCCTCTTTTGAGATGGTCATTACACGTCACGATGTTGCCGTCCGTTATGAAATAGCTTGATATATAGCTTGATAAGATTTGGCAGAATTGTACCTGCAAAGGTTAGTCGAAGGTTATTCCATGTGAAAAGTATTCCTGGCTGGAGAGTGAAGTGTTGAGCAGTAGTAGAACCTTCTGTTCTTAGCGTGACGGTTCCTTCTGCTTGGATGCTCCATGTGGGGCATGAAAAGACTCGGTATATCGTGGATGATGTAGGTACTGTATAGTACCTATAGAAGAGAGCATGTTGATGTGCAGTGGAAGCACCAGTCGCACCAAAAGCATCCACAGCTTGGTACACAGTATGTGTATCCGGATTTGATTTTGCAATCATACTGAAACGTATAGTTTCACCTTCGGTTCGAGTGACTCACAGGTGTTACCTCTATT